TGTGTATTTAAATGGAAACACTGAAAGATCATATAAGCTCATAATAGATTAAATATCAAGGCTATACCTCACTTAACATTGCTGCTTTGTTTAAATGGATATTGATCAATGTTGCCTCAGAAAATTTTAATATTTGATATTTTAGGATGGATATAACAAAGTAAAATAACTTAAATAACAATTATTTTGTAAATTTCATTTTTGTCAAAGGAATTTTCACTTTTAATGGAAAAGAACATAGGACAAATAAAGTGTTTGCAACAGCTCTGACTTGGGCTGCACTGACAATTGCTTCTGTAGTATATTGTTGGCCAACTCTCATTTAAAAAAAATCTGTTTTGGTTTTCTGATGTACCTACTAGAATACTTAGGAGTTACAGATAAGTGAAATGGAAAAAATAGAAACCAAATATGAAAGTTAGTGGTTTGAAGCACATCCTTCCACACATTTCTTCCATGCATGTATATGCATCCATTTGAAAAGAAGGTCAATCTTACTATAAATTAAGACAATTCACTAGAAAGATTTCAATGTCAATATGTTGCCTTTAATAATACTCTTTGTCTTGATTGGACTGCCATTTAGTCAATTCTTTTTTTTTTTTTTTCGGTCCGGTCGTGGGGCCTGTACTCTGGGCCTGGGCGCTGTCCCTCAGCTCTTCAGCTCAAGGTTAGCGCTCTACCACTTGAGCCACAGCGCCACTTCCGGCTTTTTTCTTTTTGCTTATGTGGTGCTGAGGAATCGAAGCCAGGGCCTCAGGCATGCAAGGCAAGCACTCTACCACTGAGCCACCTTCCCAGCCTCCATTTAGTCAATTCTTATTGTGGAATGTTTGCTTCCAATCTTTTCAAGAACAAAAACAGAGTTGTCATCAATGTTTCATGTAACAAAATATTTACCAAATCTTGATTATTTTTCTTAGAATGTATTTCTAGAAAAGGAATTGTTGAATTAAATAAATACACATATATTTTAGGCTTTTAGTTTATACTAGTACCTTTTTCTTCAAAAAGCTTACACTACTTGTGTACTAATTTGGTTGTAGGTTGATTCAGAATTCTCAAGTTTCATGTGCCAAGTAGTTTTTTTTTTTTTGAGGCAGACAACCATACTGACTCTGTGGTGCTCCAAACTTGTAATAATAGGGTAAAAATATTTGATGCAATTCTACAATGTGTGAGTTATTATAGTTATATTAATTTGGCACAGTTATTTTCTCTGCTGTTTTTAGTTGAGTCTGTATACATCATAGGTTTTACAATTCTTCTGCAAGAAATGTCTAAGAAATTTAAAAAGAGACTCTGTCCCATCTAACATATTCGCCTGTCTTATACAGTATATTAACACTCAATCCAAATTCAGGAAAATGTCATCCATTAATCATAGACCAATGTAAGAAGCAAGAATTGTGATGATATTAACCAGGAAAAGGTTCAAGGGATAACTGTGAAGCAGAACATGTAACCTATTCACCCAGGAAATGATCATACAAATTAATGTGCTCACGACTAAAACTGGCAATGCTTTCAAAGCTTACCCAGGTTTGCAGCTCAGATGACATCTTTAGGAGAAAGCTTAGAAAGAATTTCATCCTTCAGTTTTTCTTGTCTCAAACTGCTTTGTTTTTCTCTGCCAATCTTACTATGGAGTATGGTGGAGATTATGCATCATTTAATGTTTAGATTCCAAATTATAAAAAATAAACATCAATGTGTCTTGGGATATTCAGTAGTGTTTTAAAACCTTTCTATAAAGCAAATGACTGTGAGGGATATAGCAATATTGAAAAACAATTAAAATATCAACCATCTCAATCAATCTTCCCCCTATGTTTACCACTAAAGAAGTTTCTACTCTGAAAAAGGAACTAAGTTCCCGGCAACTTTAGCATAAAAAAGCTTCCTCAGCTTTTCTTAGATTCTGGCTATCTCAAAATGAAGTGTAGACAAAATTAGCCCATAAGATTAATTTTTGGTAATTGAACTTGAACCTAAAAACTAAGCTGTTTCACTTCCTCATGACAAAACAAATTTCTTGAAAATAGGTTTCCATTTCATATTTGTATCACTAAAGCAGCCAACCTTTGATAGGCATTTGTTTGAATGAATGAAAATGTCTCATGTTCCCATGAAAGCAAGATGCTATTATTAATAATATTATCATAATCATTGTCGTTATTAATGACATACTGTGATAAACAGTACATTTAGCTGGGCGAGGGTCTAAATATTCATCCTCTGCTTCCAATGTACCAGCAATGAGCTAGTAAGCAAGTTACTAAATCTCTCTGAACAGTAGCTTTCATAGTTATAATGATATAAATCAGCTTTCTTTTCAAATAATGGGTAAGTTTGAAATCAAGGGAAATAAAATAGGATATTAGATAAGCTAATTGGTACATTTCAAATGAAAATTATTATTATAGTTGCATCATTAGTATTTTGAAGATATACATCACCATTTTCACAATTGGATTTCTTATTTCTCCATTTTTAGGTGGGACTGATAGCCCAAGTCATCTCTCCATGGAGTAAGTATTAATTTTACCTTAAGTTTAATATTTCAAAATGATAATTATGTGTGTACATGTACTTCAATGCACTTAATTCTTTTATATATAATTCATATATATATATATATATAAATATATATTTAAACCCAGAACTTGGTTACCTTGAGGAACATCCCCAGTATTCACCCTCCTCTTCCTCCTCCTCCTCCTCCTTAATATTTTTCCCTTTCTCTTTCTGCTTCTTGCCAGTACCAGGGCTTTAACTCTGGGACTTTAGGCTTGCTTAGCTTATTTGCCCATGGCTAGTACTCTACTGCTTGAGTCATACCTCCAGCCTGGTACTTTGCTGATTACATAGAGATGGAATCAGACATTTTTGCTCAGGTAGGCTTTAAATCCTGGGGGTTTTCAGGCTCTTGATTCCTTCTTCTTTTATTAATAGGGATAACTTACTTATAATATGTATACAAGTAATAAATGAAGAAGTCCATGTAAATGACATGTTGATGAAGGGACTAGCACCTCAAAAGTTTCCCTCATACCTCTTCCAATCATCCCCCTTCCCTCTGCCCCAAGGAGAGCAATCAACCAAGGAGAGCTTCTAATGCTATCACTTAGTTTCCCATGAAATGAAGCCAAAACAGAGAAGGATCAGGGTATATACCATGAAACCAGACACAGCAAATTGCCCAATGTCTCTAGGATTCAATTTATTATTTAAAAAATAAGGAAGCTGATCATTTAGGATTTTTTCCATGTTAACACTTAATGATTCTTCTAAAGAACACTATGTGCCTAGGTCCGTGCTATTTTTGTTCACTATTTTGCACAGTTTGTTATCTCAGGCAGAACTTGTGGATATCATGTTCTAAATGAGAGTTGGCCAGTCAGAATTACCTTTTACCATGAATACAATTAAATGCTCAACTCCACAAGGGTCAAGAGGAGTAGGTATGAGAGCACCGAGAAACTGAAGGAACCAAGGGACTTCTACCTTTCCCACAACACAGGCACCATCACATCAAGGCTCTCTGTCCTCTGCCCTCTGCTTGGAGCATTAGGCAATGACATAGAATGCAAAGAGCAGAGCATTCTCTGTATTGTTTTAGATACATTACCTGAATGTAGAATGAATATGGATTTCTGCCATTTAGCAATTACAGTACTGTTTGGGGAGCCATGTAGACCTCCTTTGTGCAATGCCAAGTCTGCCTTAGTGATACACTAGCTAGAAGGAGCCTGTTCTATGGCTTCTGTTCTCAGAAACTGAGTGAGATGAGGAAGAATGAATTTGGATAACTTCCTCCAGAATTTGAAACAGTAAGCACTGCCTCCTCCATCAGCCTTTTGACACATGCTCTGCCACAGTCTGAGTTTTGCTTAGTTCTAAGAGTCTTTTCATAAGGCATGTGTTTGAAAAAGTTTTCTTTTATGATCTTTTCTGAATGATTCCCTTCAGAAGAATTCATTTCTAAAGCAAAGAAAGAAGTGAGTAGATGAGAATCTATTTTCTAGCTAGTTCTCTAAGATCCAGTATGTCTCATGGGAAATCCACAAATTTTAGAGATTCGAGTCGTTTATTACCCCAGTAGTTCCTATTCCAGGAACAAACCAGGACACAAATTTAGGTTTGTGACTTGAACTAGTCTCTTTTTCAAGCTGTTCATATGCTGAGATACAAACGCATATCTATTTTCCTTGAGAAACATTGGATGCAGGACCAAAGGAGCAATTGTTCAACAAGATGGCGCTAAGAAGGACATTTTCAGGTCATAACCATGGCTTCCCAGGACAGTGGGCTGTGTTCAGTAGTCATGATGCAGCTTATGGGAAGGCAGGAGACCCAGCCTTTCCGCCATACAATTGTGCAACATGGCTTTCCTGTCCTGAAGGAGAAACCCATATTCAACTAAAGATAGTCTCCGGGTTGCTTGTGTGCACAATGGAATGTTTTCTGCTTACCTTTGGGAAATCTACTTAAGTATAGTTGTACTCCCTTACCAGTATTTTCTATAATTCCACCAATGTCTAGTGAGAAACCGAATCCCTTAGATCTAAACAGCAGACAAGTAACCTGAAAAATGAAAATAAATGTTCAAATTCAAAAGCTGTATACTCTATGATTGAAAATCTTTTTCTTAGTGAGTGGGAGTTGCTTTCATCACTGCTGGTCATAAGTTTTTGTTTTTCATTTTCTGGTGGAGAAGTTTTCTAGGGTATTTTTTCAAACTTTCCAGCTTAGCAAAGCATTGGCTAAAATTGAAAAGAGAACTAGGCTTTGGGTCAGAGGCAGCATTAGGTTTGTTCTTAGATGGGCGGGTGCTGGGGGGGGGGGCAGGTTGCTGACACAGCGAAAATAAGACAAAACATTGGAAACTTCTGGCTTTGTACTTCTCAAATGCCTCTTTTAGAAATCGCTTAAGTCGTTATTAACATCCACCACCCACCTTCCCTTTTTGGTCCTGACATTGGGTAATAATAGATAATGTTGACATATGTTCCCTGCTGGTCAGAAATACTATACTTCTGTGAAAGGTAACATTTTCAAGCTATGACAAAATGTATTTTACTTGGACAGAACATTAGTTATTGGACTAATCTCAGAATGTGCGCTGTGGGGTAAAAGTTCTAACATTTTAGTGGTGGGAGAAAGTTTGTTGGGAGAGTAAAGGCATCAGTATGGGGTGTGTTTATCTTTCACCATTTCTAAAGGTATTGGCTTGGTGTCAAACTCTTATGTCCTTAGGAATGTAAAGGAAACATTCCCAGTATGTATGAAGAACAGCTGTCTGTGGACACAGCAACTTAAAAAAAATGATTATACCCAAGTTTACTGCAGTATGGATTATGGAATGAAAAAATATTTTTTCACTGTGTACCAAAGAATTCTGTTTTACAGGCCAGTTTTGAAGCTTTTAACTGCATGAGACATATGCTGCAGTTCTGTTGTTTGTTCTTCATGCAATGTACTCTGAAATATGGTTTTAAAAAAGGAAAGAAAGAAAGAGAGACACAAAGAGAGAGAGAGAAATGAGATAGAGATGCAATCTTTTTTTTCCTTCCTGATCAAATGTGGTACTTAAAACTACTTTTGAAACTAATTTTGGGGATAAGTTAGGAAATATCCCAGCTGGCTTCCATGCTATGAAAATCTGAACAGCCCTTTGCAAAACTGGAAAAATTGATTTTGTTTTGAAGGCTCACACAGACTTAAGTGTTGTGTAAGTTGGACAGAGTTTTTATTGAATCTGGTCCTTTGTGTTTTATGACAGTCTGAATGGGTGTTAAGATTCCACGAATAAATCTCCTGCCGTTTCTGAAATTTCTGATATAAACATGAGTTTTGTCAATTTGTTCTCTGCACAAATGTCTTTCAGAATGTTAACAAACATGGTGCATTGATGGGTGGGTTAGCCGATGGGAGAACAATCTGCCTTACTTGGTAGGACATTTCTTTTGTTTCTAGTGCTGTGGATATTGAGAAGTGGGGCAGCTGGAGAATGGGCTGGTGGTGATGCAGATGAAAACTTTAGGATGGGGAAGTGTCAACTACAAGCTGGTTGGAGAAATAGTATGAACAGCCTTCCACTGAAAGTCTGGCCAAGAGTCTACATCAAGGAGATTGTGGATTGGCTCCCAGCAAATGCTATTAGTTATTTTCTCTAGAGTCTTAGAATTACTGAGGGGAATATTTCTAGCAAAGATAAGAATGTAGTTTAAAAATATTGTCTTCGTATATTCTGCATTCATTTTTTTTGATTTGTCAGTGTCCTTTAAATTCAAATATCAAATTGACAATATCCTAAAATTAACTTCCAAGGAAATACTATAATTTAAAGCAAGTAAGCCAAAGTGGGGAGGGGAGTCTTCATTTTTATGATTAAAATTAAGTCATGTACAATATAAACACTTCTGAAGAGGATTGCGATTGAGTTTCAGGGAATGGTATGTTCCACAATTTATGGTAGTGAAGAAACACATATTGTATGATTTGAAGTTTTATAATGCATCGCTATCATGAGAGCTAGCACCCAGAACCTAGTCTTGGCGTTTCATTTTGACGCACAAGCCCAAAACTTAGTGATCTAAATCTTATTCTTTAGATAGACTAGTGCTGTGATGGCTACCTTTTCTTGCATTAACAAGAATTTATTATGTGGTTTAACTGTCTGACAGCATCTAGCCCTTACACAGTTTTTTACATAATTGGTCTTCTAGGGTGGTTAAAGCTGGTTGTAGAGCCACTAGCTAGTCATATTCCCCCTACACTTTGCTCTTCACGGAGACTTAGTAAAGAGACTGAGTAGTCATTTTGGTTGAATTTACATTCATGATGAAATCAGTGCCCTAATGGGGATAGTTCATGGAAGATTTTAATGCACTCTTTATTGGCATTATAAATCGGGCCAGTTACTTGATGCGATTCTCTTTGTGGGCCAAATTCTGCCCTCAGTTTCTTACTTGAGAGTCCCACTGAAGTAGTAATTACTGAGTGGAAGAATACTAAAAATGTTCAGCCAAGTTCTATTCTAAGCTGCTATCATGTAACTCCCAATGAAGTTAATTACGACTTAGTAAGAACTAGTGATACAGTGTCTTAAGGGCTTTGGATCTCTGTGATCTGCTATCCAAGACACAAGGCCCAAAATTTGCCATTAAATACTTCTTTTTAAGAGGTGAATTGACTCTGTTGAAGGTAAGAAATGGCCATGCTAGTAACTACATATGAAATGGGGCTTAAATAGTAGACTTTAATGTCTTTGAACTTCAAGAAGCTTGATCTTTTTGTAGTTTCCCTCTTTGGGAGAGTCTGTATTACAGAAGCTTTAATTTTCTCTAGTACATCGAGTCCATTGGTATGAGTTACCTCCTGTCCCATTCTCCCAGAATCCCTTAACTGTAATAATATATAATTTTTATTTCCATTAATTGTAAAACATTTGCTTAAGTCATCAGAGCTTAACTATTATTTCCTGGAGCTAAACCATTATCTTTCTTAAATACAGATGTTTATATTATGCATAATATAATTTGTGTCATAAGAATTCATTACAACTTTGGCTATAGTTTAGCATATGTCTCAGTTTAGACTTTTATTTTTAAATGGGAAAAAAGGACTCCATGATCTATTGGATAACAATACAGTATGTGCTACTAAATAGGCTGCTTATAAGATTTTGTTACTATTCAAATACTGTCATAAGGGAAGAGGCAGGCTATTGCTCACAGTTTAATGTGGGCAGAACACACTGGAATTAGGACCATCTGCTGGGTTGTACCAGACTAAAACCCTTGCCCCTGAAAATTGTTATGTGGAGCTGTCTAACCTCTATGATCTTCTGGTCTTGTCTTGAGGACCCTGGTGGCCTAGAGTATACTAAAGACTATGTTGTATTCCTTTCTCATTAAACACAAAATAACGTTAAGTTGTAAAATTAGTGTAATGAAACCAATAAATATTTCAGTAAATATTTCATTGCTCTTAAAAATTATTTTAAATCAAATGTTTTAAAACTAATTTTCTTCTCAGTTTTGATGCCCTCCCAAACCCTCTCTTCTCTTAAAGCTCAGGATAAGCCTGTGAGATCCTCTAGCAGTGAGCATTTTTGAATCAGTTGGGCTTTTGGATAAGACTTCTTATGAGGTGAAGCTTCAACTAAATTTTGAAGTAGTTGAACTTGAACTTACATAGGTCATGTTGGAGTTGGTGAGGTGCTTTGGCTGGGGCTAGGGGAGAAGACAGGACTTAGTGTGTGTTATGGAAAGGAAATGGTGTCTGTGGCTTGCTGTAGGTGGTGAATAGGATGGAGACTGGTGCAAATGAGGCTTTACTCTGACATGTTGAAGAGTGTATGTTATTTGAAAGAAAGGAGGAAACAGTGGAAATGTTTACTAAAATGAAGTGCAATACTTTAAAAGGATAATTAAAGTAAGGGTAAGGAGAGCAATTGCTACTTTAACACTCTCACCAAATCATGAGGGAGCCCAAGAAGGAATTGAGATGATAGCTGAATACAAAGACATAGAAAAATTAATTAATGATAACAAGAAATGTTTCAGAATGATATTCATATTTTTGTCTTTTCCAACTAATTTGGAGTCATTACATTTATTGAAATTTGAAAATTAGGCAAAGAAACATATACTCAGTAAGGGCAGAGTACAACTATTTTCCACTCTTGGATTTGATATCTTTCTGAGATATGGAGAGGAAAGTTTTGTTGGTTAGTCTAAGAGAAATATTACATACAATGGAGCCAGAAAGTTGGGGCTGAAAAGGATTGTGAGGGCTCCACCTATGCCATATTAAAGGATGTAGACTTAGTCTTCTGTTTTATTTATTCATGTCGGACCAAATCAATTCAGTATTTTCAAATCTCTACTAATGTGTGTGAAGGAGTGTGTGTTAGCTAGAGTCTTAATTGGTGAGTTCTCTTTATCCAGTCACTAACATTAGACATGCTGAGTTGACTTAGTCTTTTTGATTGTTATGGTAATGATTCACCATGACTCAAGTCCTCTACTCTTAGGAAAATAGAAACTTTGCTGTTTCTCTGTCTCCTATAACTTGGTAGGTATCAGGATAGATTGGGGTGGAAGTGGTAGAACACTAGCCTTGAGCAGAAAAGCTCAGGGTTTAAGCCCCACGACCAACAAGGACAACCGAAGGTGAAGAGTATGCATGCTTCTTGGAATCAGCACAGATTAGAGTCCAAGCTTGTATACAGAGGGGCTGTTAAAAACATTTCATCCTAAGTAATAAGGTTGACATGGAGGTAAGTTTCTGGGATGGAACAAGAGGATAGGATAGAATGCTTAACAAAGTGCCTTCACTAGGTAATATGCAAAGAATTAATTCAATTATGTCTTATTTTTAATTGATTTCAAGGACTTTGTGAGCACTTAATTATGCCATGTTTGATGAGAATTTGAAGGACATGGGGAAATTCATTATTCCTTCTCTGAAGGAAGAGAATAAAATAATGTATCATTTAACTGGATGCATTCTGAGAAATATGTTGGTCCTATTTATCATTGAACATTATAACATGTACTTTACATAAGTTTAGATGACCCAGGACAGCATCTCAATGTGGCCTCTTTTATTTTGTTTTTTTCTGTTAATTATAAATATTTCTTTGGCCCACATTTTAGATACTTCAATGACAATGCATTTTCTTTTCTTTCTTGCTTTTTTTATTGTGAAAATACTGTACAGAGGGGTTATAATTACATGGGCAAGGTAATGGGTACATTTCTTATCAAGCATTGTTGCCTCCTCCTTTGTTTCCCCCTTCCATCCCTTCCCATCTCCCTCTCCCTCCCCCCATGCCAAAGTTATGAAGTTTGTTTCTCGACATAAAGACTTACGCATCTCATTGTTGCAATGGGTCCACCTGTATCACTATTTAAACAATTTGTTTTTTCTCTTCCCCTCCCCAAATTTTGCCAACATCAAATACAGTGAAAACAGGGGTTATACCTTGTGGGAGGGACATACAAAACTACAAAGAAATCATCTTATAAATATATTAGAAGCAATCGCAAGAAAGAAAAAACATTTGAGTCCTTGTTATTTTCATACATGATAGGTTGATTCAGGAAATAATCCCAGTTCAAAAGAGCTTTGTGGTTCACTTGACTCCAGGCACACAGTGTATTGAAGAGAATCAGAAGTCCTGGTGGAACTGAAGCCTGCACAGTGAGTGTCTCTTCTTCCCACTGGACAATTGTTTCTTTCCTAAGAACCATCAACTGATTTTGTAAGTGCAGATTGGGGGAGGATTATCTCTGAAAGGTCTGATTAAATGTTCTCTACTAAGGGAACAAATGCATTGTCATGAATTCCATCATGTGGTCGAACCTAAAACCAAAATTGAGTAGTTGCACTGTATATTAGTTAGAAATTTCATCACTGTGACAAATATACAAAAGAAACAAGTTAAAAGTAGAAAAGACTTACTGTAGTTCATAGTTGGTCAAGTGTTAGTTCATTGTCAGTTAATTTCTTTCTTTTTATTCTTGGCTACAGTAACACAAGGCATCATGATATCATGGCAGAAGGGCATGGAAGAGCAAAATAGCTCACTTCATACTAGCCAGGAAACAGAAAGAGAGAGAGAAGGAATTGAGGGACAGGAAGGAGAAGGAGAGGAAGCAGAGAGGGAAAGAAGAAGAAGGGAAGACCAGCACCAGACACCCTTCAAATGCAAGCCCTCAATAATCTACTTCATCTAGGCCTCACCTTGTTACATTTCCACCACTCCCAAAACAGCTCCTCTTCTTGGGAACCAAGTCTTCAACATATTGTGGGGAGTATTTTATGTTCAATCTGTAACATTCTGTTCCCAACTCCCAAAGGCTCGTGGCCATCTCATAATATAAAATGTACTTAGTACATCTTGAAGAGTCCTTAAATTGTAACTATTCCAGTGTTGTTCAATAGTCGAAGTTGAGCTGGAGGTGTGGTTCAGCAGTAAGAATGACTGCCTACCCAGCAGAAGACTGAGTTCAAACCTCAGTCTGGACAAGAAAAAAGTCCAAGTCTAAAGTCTCTCCTGATAATCATGACAAACTCTTAACAGTGAACCTCTGTATAATTTTAAAAGCTGGTTTCATTCTTCTAAGTTATCATGACACAGAGTAAACTCATTCCAACAGAGAAGGATAGAAAGATAGCAAGGATGGATCAAACCAAAGCAAGATTGAAATCCCACAAAGGGAAACATTATATTCTGCAATCTCATCCCCAGGAACTGGCACATATAATAGGAATTCCAAAGGGCTTTACAACCCTACCCCATGGCCTTGTGGTGATAGCTCACATTGCTTCTTTATTGGACTAGCTCCACTCACTGCCTTCAATTTTCCATGTTCTTGGCATCTCCTAAATTGCTATTGTATCCTTAGCTTTGCTCCTGTAGCTTCATGCATCATCTTCATAAGTATTTCCTGCAGAGATTACGACTCTGATACATACTGTCTAGCCTCCCATGGATATTCTGTGTAGTAACCTCTTTGACTCTCAACTTGCATTCTGCATGTGAGAATCTGGTACCATATGGGTGACACCAATGTATGCTCTCAGCTTCAGCAATAACCAGATCTGCTTGAAAAATGTCTGTAGCAGCCTCTGAGCTGGATTATTGAATATGGTGAAATGAATTCTGGGGAAACAACTTTTTTTTTTTTTGTGAAGATACTGTACAGAGGGGTTACAGTTACATGGGCAGGATAATGCGTACGTTTCTTACCAAGCATTGCAGCCTCCTCCTTTTGTTTACCCTTCACATCCCTTCCCAGCCTCCCCCCCCCCCACCTTTCTCCCTCCCCCCCCCCCCCCGCACCAACGTTGTAAAGCTCGTTTTGGACATGACAACTTGTACTTCTCATTGTTGCAACAGGTCCACCTGCATCTTTAAACAACTGGTTTTTCCCCATCTCCTCCTCAAGTTATACTGACATCAAATATAGTGAAAGCAGGGGTTATACTGTGGGGGAGGGACATACAAAGCAACAAAGAGATAATCTTATAAGTGCATTAGAAACACATGCATGAAAGAAAAAAACAGTAAGATACATATCTAACGGTTCATTTTCCTGACATCACATTATCTGACCTTTGGGGAAACAACTTTTTAAGTGGTCCTATATAAGCAAGGCTCACTGGCTTTCTTCTCAAGGAAAAGTCTTAAATAAGTTTACACTTTAATGCCCTTGAGCCTTTGATGAGGAGAGTAGGAATATTGCTGATTCCTAAGAAACCCTCAAGGCATCTTCCTTATTTGTCCTGGTAAAATGACTCGGTATTTGTTTTTATTTTATTATTTATTTTATTTTACTCTACTGGGGTTTTAACCTAGGGCCTTGAGTAGGCAACTAAGGGTATTCTTAGCTTTTAGTTTTTCATAAAGAGCCTTGCTTTTGCCTGGGGACAGCTGCAAACTGTAATTCTCCTAATTTTACCTACTGGCATGCTTCACCATGCTCTTTTATTTGCAGAGATGAAGTTTCACTGTCTTTTTAGTTGGGCTTGTCTCTACCCAGGATCCTTCCTATAATCTCCAGCCAGGTAGCTAGGATTACAGATGAGGGTCCTCACCATACCCATCTCTTGGCCTTTTTAAATGATACTAATCTGATCAGAAACTTTGCTTTTCTTAACCTTCATTTTGAATATACTCCAAGCAAAACTGAAAGGTTCCCCTCACCCCCACTCTAAAATTGGCTAAAAGTACTCAGAATGAATCCTGTCCTGCCTTGAAATTTTCTCCAGCAAATAAATTGTTTATTATCTTTAAATTCAGACCCCTACAAAGTCTCAGGGCTTGGGCAAAATGTACACAAGTTCTTGCCATAATACATCACAAATAGCTATTTATTCAGTTTTCAACAGAGTCCTCAGTTCTATCTGAAACATTTTATACAGACTTTATTATCTTCATTCCTACTATTATTCTGAACTTTTTAGTTCCCACCAGAATCACCTAGTAAGATTGTTTCAAAAGCTTCTTCAAGCTTTTCTAAATTCCTCCTGAGAATCAGTACCAGTGGTTTGGAATTATATTAACAAGTAGAGTAAAGCAATGACTTCACTTCCCTGACACCATTTACACTAATATTGCTCCAAAAACACACGAAAGCACCAATTTTTTTTTTAAAAATGGAAAATGTATTTTTGCTAATACTTTCAGAAATGTTTGTCCCTGGTTGTTTGGCTCCATTGTTTCTGTACCACGGTAAGGCAGAACATCGTGGTGGAGACTCATTGTGGAGCAAAGATGCTTACCACTTACTGGTCAGCAAGCAGAATGTCAATGTGGCTTCTAGATGAAATTAAGAGATGCTTACTAACATTGACATGACCACAAACCCTTAAGCATTTTGCTATGATATTATGAGCTATATAACAGCACAAAACAACAGAAAAATGATTTTATGAAACCCTCAAAATGGGATCTATCATTGACCAAAAAGTTTTGTGGTATGTTCCTTTATTTTGCTGTCATTGGAGTTCCCAAATGTTTTAAAAGTTTAAAACTAAATAACAAAAGTACCCAAACACACAGTAAAATTTAAGAAGACCATCCTATGCAGAGTTGTTCAACAGTTGCCTTAAAAATGTATTTAATATGTTAATGTTGTTAAGACAATACATCTATTGTTTTAGATTTGCAGAACAACTGAAAGTAACATACAGAGACTTCCTGACCCACACACTTATAGCTTGTCCCATTATCCACCTTTATGTTAGAATGATACATTTGTTATAGTGGATGAACTTACATTGACACATCATTATTCCTATAAGTCTGTATTTATTTTAAGGTTCATTCTTGTAGTTTGTACATTCTATGAGCTTTGAAAAATGTGTAACATCAAGTCTCTACCTCTGTAGTACCATACATCGTGTTAGTGCCCAAATAATATATTCCCTGTTCCCCTATTCATCCTTTCTCTCTTTCATTTGTGATAACCACTGACTTTTTATTGTACATTATAGGCATTTTACTTTCCCCAAAAGTTGTAGAACTGGAATCATACTACATGATGCCTTCACATTGGCTTCTCTCAGTACTATACATTTAAGTTTCTCTTGTGGGTTTTAGAACTTGATAGCTCATTTCCTTTTAGCACTAAATAATATTCCATTGTGTAGATCATTCTCCCTACCTATTGAAGAGCATATTGGTTACTTTCAAGTTTTGTGATGAGTAAATCTGCTTAAACATCTTTGTGAAGGCTTTTGTGTACACATATTTTCAATTCTTTTGATAAAGGTCAAGGAACATGATATCAATCATGTCTTATCAGAGACAACCTTTTTACTCTTATATTTTGTAACTCTTCCCAATTATCCTTTCCCTCATAAGCATTCTTCATGTAGCCATACTGCCTGGATAAGTTTACATTATCCAGGCTTCATCATCTAGGTGCCAGATCAGTACCACTAGCCACAGCAGCCCACTGTCTCTATTAGTGGTTCCTAATCTTAAGAAGAAAGAGTCCACACAAAATATTTTTAATCCTTTTGTCTCCTTCCAACTCACTCTTTGCCCTGAGTTCTAGTCTCTAGAGAACTGTGAAACAACTTCATCTTACTGACTGAGTTGATGGCTAGCATTGTTGTTTTTCTAAAGTTATGATAGTTACATTTTAAGAGTTCTGAACTTTTCAAAGCAGTGCTTTAGGATGTGGTGGGAAGGTTGGAGTGGAGATTTAAGCCACCTGGTTGACTAGTTATTTTTAGGTTTTGAGGCCTTTATGACCTGCGAAAATACCACTCTATGACTGACTTTTTCCTCTCTCTTGAACAAGAACCACACCTGTGAATTTTCATCCTCCTTTGGTGATAAAGACTTTGCTAAACCTCAGGAAAGCCAGAAGTTTACTTCATCTCAGTTCTTCTTTCAGCAAAATGGGAATGGAATTAGGCTTGCTTGAGAACCAAATACACCGGATCTTTGGTTTTCTTATTTGTTTAAAGCATCTGAAAGGTAGAAAGCGCTAAATATTATGAATTTAAATACAGATTTTTAAAGTACTAAATGTCACTGCATTAACAGAGAGATCAGATTTTTCAAGAAATCCCTTTGGGGAAGTTTAACTTCCATTTTATACAGTGAAAGTAATATTTATCTTGCTCCTTAATGTTTTTTTGTAGAAAATCTACTTTAAAATAACACAAACAGAAAGCTTTCTTCTCTAAGAAGCACTTTTTAAAAGGAGTGAAAACATAGTTGTAACATTACTTTTTGTGTGGCCTGTGAAAAGAAAATCCTGGAAGCATATGTTTATTTTTTTCAGTTCCTGACCACTGTGTTTGGAAAAACTGCCAAGAGTGACTTAAAACTTGCAAGTACAGTAACTGACTTTGAAATTTGGGCCATAACATCTTTGGCTGTTATTTGTTAAAGAAAAAAATGAATTGTTATGTTAACTTTGACTTCTTCTGATCACTTTGCTCTCCTGAAATCAGTTGCATGAAGATTAAGGATTACAGTGAATGAATACACTAAATGTTGCTGACAGTCCTTAATATGCATACACTGATCAGTGGGACGGTATCAATTCTCCCAGAAATACTCTTTGTGCTTTGATACAACACTGAAGAACAGACTTATTAAAGGATGCTGAATCCTTGCCAAACCTGCTTTGTATTTTGAAGTTCCACATCAAGGAGAGGTAGTAAATAGTCATTGAGTATAGGAAAAAGGAAACTATTAGCATTGTTTTCTTTTAAAGAGAGACCCAAGGAAAAGCTTCATAATCTCTGAAATATGTACAAGCTGTTTAATCAGTTTAAACAATGACAACTTACAATTTATGCTTCTGTATCACTAGACAAAAGATCTCATTACCTGCTAATTAAAAAAAAAACCCAGGTAGCTAGCCATTTTTACTGAGACTGTTTATTACAAAAGAAAACAAGTAACTGGCTGTTTTATTGAGGATATATTTCAGAATTTCTACATTTTTATATTACAGTATTGGTGTACACATAGAGTGGGATAGAAAAAGGTT